TGCCTACTGATGTGAATGCGGTGCCACACGCCAGCCTAAGTGAAAAACCTAAGAAAACCAGGACAGGTAAAGTACGGTGTCCCAAACCACTCAAAGCCTGCATGGCCTCCAACTCCAAATCGATAAATCTAAAGCGACAATGCACATCTGCCGAAGATGAACCGATGCAAAGGCTGGATGTGTTCTAGTTGAAGCAGGGTCCATGAGGAATTTGTTCTTGTAAAACTGCAGGTACGCCAGACTGATCAGATCTGGTATCACCACCAGTTGCAAGTGTCTTCGTTGGCAGGAGGCTTGCAATGGTGCTCCTGCCCCCTGCTGTCCACGGAATTCAAAATCAAACAGTACATTCCAAAGGGATCCCTGTGATTTCAAACGTCACACACACACACTGGCGATTATGCGTTGGGCGATTCCCTTGGAGCATTCAAACCATGCTAATGCCCAAGAACTTGTCGCAATGTACTGCTAGAGCGCACCTTCTCCAATCAAAGTCGCAACATTGAAGCAAAGGATGATGTGACTGGACAATGGAAGAGGCCCTTTGTGATTTGAGGTATTTATAAGTTTGTTTATTCACGTGGTAGTTCTTGAGCTGGGGCATATGTTTTATGTTTGTTGCCCAGTTTCTTGATCCCCGAAAGGACGGGTTCTGAACAATATTTCCGTGTGCTTCGAGAAAGGGGAGAAGGTGGGTGTGGTTGGACCCAATGGCGCTGGCAAAAGCACTTTGCTGAAGATGCTCAGTTCAAGGCCTTAAGAGATGTGAGCGAGCTACCAACACGACTCATTGAGCTACCACTCAATGCCTTCCATGTGGCTTGCGGGGGCAATCGTTGTCGTCGAACAGTTTGTTTGTTACCGCGTGAACTCCAAAATATGCTACTTGCTACCCTCAAGACGCACAGAACAGGAGATTTGTCAAGGGGGGCCCTTGACTTCCTTTTTCTTCTCTTTGTCCTTGTTGCTAGTAGCGATACACTTGTTAGTAGTAGTTTCTTGCTACTAGTGGTCATGCCCGTGTTACTAGTAGAAAGCACCCGTTACTAGTAGTCCTAATCCTGCATTCTTTTGGTCCGATGATTGGCTCAGCGTTCCGAGGACTTTGGTGGGAGACATTGAACCCAACAGTGGCGAAGTCTTCATCGGCCAAGGTGTTCTCATCGGCTGTTTGTCGCAGACCCCGCCGGATGCCTGGGCAGAAAGAATATGAAAGAATCAGTTTGCATAGCTTGGGGGTTTGAACTTGTGAAGCACCTTCTTGCTGTAGCTCCCTTCTAAGGGGAGATGTATGGAGATCTTGAAAATAGAGTTTATGTATGTATATATACGTATATGTCATGTATGTCCAATATATAAAGAGCGTGAGGTTGGAAGCTGCGGCTAGATCGGAGACCCCAAGATGCCAGCATCCAATCCTTTGTAAGGAATGGCCTGACCCAAATCGCCGCGTCATTGAAGTCGTCTCGGATATGGCCACTGTGGCCATGACCCAAGCCGACGATGGAGTGCTGGGCCGTGGGGCTGAGAGCATGAGTCTTCAACGGCGGCGAGCTGCTATGCCCCTTTGGCTTGTGGGGCAAGGGGCCTACGGAAGACAGCGAGGATTCAGGCTTTGATGTTTCCAAGAAAGACGACCTCTCTTGCTTTTGTTCATGTCATGTAGAGGCGGTAGTCCTCGATAGGTTCATCAGGCAAGGATTGGGCCGGCAAGGGTTGTTGATCAGCAAGAAACTAACAATGACACTGATCCTGCAGCTTAAACTCCAAAGAGTCTACAAATGTTTGAATGTCAACATATGCCAACGTAAAAGATAACAAAGAATGGGAGAGTGCTGGTGCTGGGATTGACCTCCCAGAAGCTCAGCGTTTTGCACGCGCCAAGAACCAACTCAGACCCATTGAAATGTTGGATCTGCGGGGCGACAGTTTGGCTTTAGAATGCTTTAGATGCTTTAAGTAAAAGAGGCTCCTGTGAAGGCTCATGGGGATGGAAGCGCCGTGACACACGACCGACACGGGAAACGATGGGAAATTAGATGAAATTAGAGGTTCTGAAGAAGCACACTGGCCCATGATTCTGTTTGTGTGTGTATTTTTCAATTGTTTTAAGAATCTTGGTGGTTCAGCTGGAGCATGCATTCGGAAGGGTACAGTCTGAAATCTGAAACCCTTTTTTTGTATCTCTCAACTCATGTGCTGGCCCTTCACCACTACCACAGCCATCCAGCTGAGGTTGAAGGCGGTCAACTTCGCAGAAAGCCGCTGGTCCACACCCGTGGGGATGCTGTCGGGCGGCGAGCATCTTGGCGAGTTCGGGGGGGGCAGGTCGTTTGGGAGGGGCTGGCTGAGGCGTTTGAAGTGAAGCTTGGAGATCTAAAAATGCAAAGCCGCACTCCTGCATCACAGGGCAGTTTGGCCCTTTAAATGGAAGACCTGCGGTTGGGTGTTAATTTCCCAAGGGTGACGAAACGTGCAGCGACTCTGCGGACGTTTTTGGCCTCTCCCGTCGAAACCTGTGGACAGACTCAGACTCGTCAGGAGAATCTAAACCAATGGCATGAAGAAGCCAAAAACTCCTGAAAGTGCCGCGATCACTGCAGGGCTTGTGAATTGCCTATGTATGAATCCAGGGAGATTGCGAGCGGTGATCCATTGGTCATAGAAGGGGTTGTAGCTAGAGCTCTTTGCTTTTCTCTTTTGGTCGGCTTTGAAACCCCACACTAATTGATTTTAATACCAAGTTCATGGACGTTCTCCTTTCAAATGCTTACAAAGCGACATAGGACATCATAAGACCGATTAAAGATGCGTGCAATTATCGAATTTGCTTCAATACGATATCATTCTAATCCATTCTACCATTTTGCACTGATTCCTCCAACTCCCTCATGGCCTTTTGTTTGAGTTTTCGGACGTTCTTTCGGCAGGAACCGCCGCCTGCAGCTCTTACGGGTGCTGGTGGAGCGTCCCAACGTTTTGCTGCTGGACGAGCCCACGAATGACTTGGACGCAGCGACTGGACATTTGCGATAAGATTCCCAATATCTTCTTGTTACTACTAGTAAGGCACTTGTTACTACTAGCGAGGCACTTGTTTCTAATAGCTTCTTGTTCCAGTTGGGGTGGTTGGCCCGTCCCTCCAAGAATGAAGTGAACAGAACTAACCTGGTTGTTCAGGAAGACCTTTATTCAGAGACGTAACATTTGTCACTTCCCTTTGCTTTTCCGGGGGTGCGCATCATCCACTTACCGGATGAGTTGAAGTTCCGTTCGTTTTGACTCTCAGTGCTGCTCCATTCAGTTGATGGCATGGCGTCCCACCGGTCGTGCTGGTTTGTGCCCCACTCTGCTCCTTCGCAGGGGAAGCAAGGAAATGTTCTTTGTATGCAAGACTAGCATTGAGATGGGCCCTACAGGCAAGTCACGAAAGGTAGCCTCAGGCTACCTGAGTCCTCCTTTTGCTTTAGGAAAATGTAATATTGTAACCAGGACTTGGCCATTTGCCTAGGGCCTAGAGTTTGGTCCTGTAAGACTGTTTTATAGGGGGGGCCCTCCCCCTGGATTAAATCCCCCCTGCTCCGCCGCGGATTGGGTGCAAGTGTGCAAGTCTTGAGATGTTTGGACAATTCTTCAGGCATGTTTCTTTGCGTAGTGTGCCCCACTCGAACTCGCACTGGAACAGTAAGAGCTCAACCTTGGAAGCATAGAAGGCTCGAACTCGAGCTGGAACTGTTAGAACTCAACCCTGGATGGCCTCGAACTGGAATTCGGACTCGAACTCGGACTCGAAGTTTTAACGCAACCCTGACGCAACCAAGTGGTCCTGGCCCCTCCGCCTTGCCTGCTACCTTTCGTTCACCCCCCTCCTCTCTCAAGTGTCATTCACTTCACTCGGTGTGTGTTTCTGTGTATTTGTGTTTGTGTGTGGTCCATGTCCTTGTTAGTTCTGGGGGGCTGCGCAAGCCAATGCAAAATCAACCATGTAGAAACTCTCGCACCACGTACCGAGCGTTTCCGGATTGTGTGTAGCATGCATGGCTGCATGATGCATGGGTGTAGAGCGTTTTGAGCGGTTGATCTACTTCCTCCGCATCGGCCTCCGTAGACGATGCGCCCATCTCCGCATCGAGGAGACGGGGAAACGAGCCCTCCCCGGCGATTCTTCGCCCTCCCCGGCGATTCGCACTGAGCCCTCGGGAGACTGGCGATTCGGACTCAGAGACTCCCTGTCCAAGGTGACCGTGGACTCGCTGGAGAGTATGCTTCAACGCTATCCCGGCACAGTGGTGCTGGTGAGCCACGACAGGTCGCTTTTGGATGGCGTGTGCGGATCTTTTCTGGTGATGCAGGACGCAAGTGGCAGGATTTTGACAGTGACACCTTTTTCAAAGGCTCAAGAGCATGGTGAAACCATGGTGAAGAAACACCAATTAGCAGCAGCACGCGTGTTGTGTGCAAAGATTGGAGGGTGCATTGAGTTTCAATTCCTTGGCAATAAGGTCCATTGAAGAGACCTGTGAACATGTGGGTATTGTACACGATACGACACTATAGTTATATAGTAAGTATTCAGACGAAGCAACTATCTCTCTATATATATATATATACTGTATGTGTGTCGTTATGTGCGTGTGTAGGTGTTCGTGCATATATGGAGACTTGCGGGTTGGATCAACAATGAGAACCTTTTGAGAGACAAGTTTGCATGTCGTCCCTGAAGCAGGAGGATGGCTCTCAGCCCATGTTGTGGACTGGGTCCTTCCACGACTTGCTGGTCACGCAGCATAAAAAACAAAAAGCTTCAAAGAATCCAGCAGAAGAGAAGGAAACCAAGCTTGCAGCAGACAAAGCAGACGAAGCTTCGAAGGAGAACCTGCTTTTGCTTCCTCACTTGCCATGAGTCATCATGAGTCTACACTGTTGTTGTTTCTCATGCATTTCTTGTGTCCATGTTTATTTGTTCCATTGTGTGTTTGGTGTTTGTCTAGTCTCCACAATCCAAAGGCAACATCATAGAATCTAGGCTCCGCCGGCAAACTGGCCGATTCACGGATGAGGAAGCTAGGTGACTCCAACCAGTTTGGTATCCTGTAAGGAAGGGATGCACCATGTGGGTGCAGTCAGGGAACTTGTCAGGCAATGTAAAGGATAAAAAAAACATATTAAATACACACATATGTTTGCTCATATTAATATATATATATATATAGTACAATTCCCACAGACAGACTTCCCTTGCTACACGCGCATGGTGCATCGCTTCCTGTTATCATGAGCCATCTCTCACTTGCTTACAGTTCAAGGTTACACAAACGGGACTGGAGATTGCTACGCAGCACAGAAGGTTCATGATGTTGCACCTGTTCACCTGTCGAAAAACTCCACGCTGGCAGAACAAGCAGCGGAAAGAGCTGGTGCGACTGGAGGGGCAAATCACGCAGATGGACGAGATCCTTCGATTGAAATGAGGAGCATGTGCTCATGTCATTTCCATGGAACACGGATTCAAGATTCGAGAACGCTGTTGAAGTTAAATTGATGATATTGAGATTTCTAGGTTGTTTGTTACAATCGAATGAAGTGGCCCAAGTGAAGGTACGCCGAAATTCTAGAGGCAGCATCTCACCTAAACGGAGATGGGTATGTCTCAAAAGTGAGCAGACTCCTGATCTCCTACAACTCGTGGATAGAAACGACAGTTTATGACGTCCGTTGACCGCAATTTTGTTGAGGGAGGTCTTCAAATAACTATAACTTCGTTTGGATACTCAAATATCACATACCACTGAATGTCAGATTTTGTTTGCTTTGTATGCATTTGTTGATTCTCCATGCGTGCTCAGGAAACTGGCTGTGATCGACCAACAGCTGGCCGATCAGTGGGACGCTTGATGCAAGCACGGCCGATGGTAGCAGCGTGGTGGAGCGGCCCAAGCAGCACCAAGTTCACTACACTTAGCCACTACACCTGAACAATTCGGATGCTCACCCACAACCAGATGAAACCGGTGCAAATCGGGTCAAGGTGCACTAGTCAAGCTTTTCGTGAGCTTGACTAGCTGGTGATTGGAGGCTGCGATGTGCCGGAGCTGTCGATGAATCCCCCTTTTAAGGTTTTAATCTCAGGGAGTCCTTTTAGCACTTGCTAGTTGATGGCTTGGGGATTGAGGAGGCAGGACATGAAGTTTGGGAAGGGGGCAAAACACTTCCAGCGTTCGCACATGTCAGATTTCAGATGGTAGAGGCAGTTCAACGGCTGAGGATGAGCCGGAAGAAGTCGAAAAGCTGGTGGCACAAAGGGCCAAGGTGGAAGCAAAGCAAGCACAGGCTGTGGGAAGTTTTAACGCGAAGAACAGTAGGTTGGTAACATGTTTTGTGTGGTAATTCTGAATCCTCTTGATGCAAACACCTGAACGGGCCATGCTAGGTTGGGATTATTTTTGCCATGCTCCCACCTTTGCCATCCGTTGCCTGTTTGCTGACTACTGCTTCTGCCAGTGCTGCCGCGTATCGCGGCATATCGAATGTATTTTGTCAACCTTCTCCACGGCTCCCTGAAGAGATTCCATGAAGAAGGTTGAGGGCTCCCTGTGGCTATCAATCATTGATATACTCGCTGTTGCTCACTTGTGCCCTGTTTTTGAGTTGGGCATCATTTGTGTATCGTAGTCGCTGTCGTTGTGGTTGTGGTTGTGGTTGCCTTTAGCTGCTTTTCAAGCTTGTTGTCCTCGCACCTAGTGGAATTGCATCTCAAACTTGGATAAAGACAAGATGTGCAGCCTGGTGCAGTGCTACAAACAACGGACGCAGAGTAGTAGCACCGTAGTGGCATAGAAGCATTTGGAGTTTGAGCCCGCATGTCATTGTTTTGCTATGCGGCAAGGCCTACGAACGCTTCGAAAAGCTGATGACTTGAGAAGAAAAGGATTCTGGCGAGCAGAGCACTGTGAGGGGTAGGTGGGTTGGTGACCATGGTGATTTAATGGGATGTTCACTAATTAACTGGAGGAATCAATTACCATTTCTGTGCATATTTAAAAAACACATAAAGACCATCTTGCGACGAGGATGACTAGCCAACCAGCCCCAGCTGGAGAGTTGTTCACTGATTTTTGTGGACGGGCGCAGTGCCGAACATGGTTTTCCAGAATGTCACCATGCAGTTTCAGGACACCTGGGCGTCGTGTCAGTGCCCACATGTCAAACGTGGGGCAATTCATTTGCTCAAGATCTCGCTGTCCCGGTTCCATGTGAATCCACCTCCCCCTGTTGCTCTCACCAGGTCATCTGTGATGTCGATGTCAAGGTGGCTGCCTGACCCCTGGAGCGGAAAAGCACAGGCGCGGACGTGTCCGAGCAATGCAAGCGTTACGGTGTTTGGCCGAAACACCTTTCGCCCAAGCGCATGAGGAGACAAGATTGGAGTGAGCTTTTCGATGGTATTTTGCTTCACCATGCTTCACCTTCAGATTCTCAACCACATCTTGGCTCCTAAGCTGCTGTGGACCCGCAGCTGTTTCGCCGCCCCTGTTTCTTCTCGCACCTCGTTTCATCCGGCCATGTCAGTGGCGTGGCCTTGGGTGCGTCCTCCGGCCGTGCTGGCGCCGCGCTGTGGCCACCAGCTTGGGCCCCATGTGCCTGGCTTCGGCCGTAGTATAGTGCCAAGGCCACGACCCGGGCGGCCAGTGCTCCGCGCGGAGGCAGAGCTGACGGTGGCAGAGGAGAAGTCCATGAGGAGAGGTGCTGAAAGGGGTGAAACTAGAAGATCTAGGACATCCTAAGACTCCAAGACACCATTTTGGGGCAATGGCATGCTTTGTTGCATCAAAACAGATGAGAACAGATCCTGCAGATTGTTCATGGGAAATGTCAGTTGAGATCACCATACGATTGTACTTGAAGTGACTGATGTTGGGCAGATCCTGCATTCATAGGATGGTTGCTTTATTCTTGAAATACAAGCTGATAGATACTAGATACTTATTCAATCTTATTCAAGGCTTTGTTCATGTCATTATATGATCTATGATATGACACATGACATTTCTCCAGGAAGTGGCTGACTTTCTGGGCCTGCTTCTTCGGGTACTCGGTATGCTACTTCACTCGGCAAAGCTTGAGCTATACGGCACCGGTGCTCCGACAGGCGATGGGCTGGAAAGGTCTGGCGGAGATTGGGAAACTTCAGTCCTTGTTCCCCTTGGCATATGGATCATCGAGCTTCTTGGCTGTGAACATTGTGGTGCAGAAGTCTGAGTCTTTGCTAGGTGTCGGACGTTGTTTTTCTACAGGCGGATATCTGATCATAGATCATCCCAGCAATCTAGAGTCTTCCATGCGAATGCTGCTCAATGTAGGTGATGGACTCGTGTGGTGTGTCCCAAGATATCATGATAGGCTCTGATAGGCTTTGATAGGCCGAGCTTCGGCGAAGCGCCCAGGATTCCTGGGAGGGCTGCTCGGCGATTTGCTGAGTCCCAAGCGGGTGTTCGCGTTGGGTCTTTGTGTGTGTAGCTTGCTGAACATCGCCTTCGGCATGAGCTCAACGCTTCCTCAGTTTGCCTTCTTTTGGCTTCTGAATGGCTGCTTTCAGGGTCTAGCAGCTCCTCCATGTGTCAAGATGATCACCAATTGGTTTGATCCGAAAGAGCGGGGCTTTTGGTGGTCGGTTTGGCATGCCTCGATCAACCTTGGAGGGTTCCTTTGCCCTTTCTTCGCCGGAGGTTTGGCCGGCACCTACGGATGGCGTTACGGCATGCTGGGACCCGGATTCCTCGGTTTGCTCACAGTGGCGCTTTGTTACTTAGCAATGAGTGATGGGCCGAAAGCAACGAGTGGCACTAGTGCCAAGAAAGAAGTTGTAAAGACAGAACCCGAAGTAAGTCTCATGGAGGGCATCCTCCTCAATCCAGTGCAGTGGGCGCTTGGCCTTGCCTACATGCTGGTTTATGTGTGGAGGGCTCAGATTCACAAGTTTGAGTTTGCGGAGTGATATGCAAACTCAAGATAGGTCGTTTGTCAGGCTTTCAAGTCCCTTCGGTCCATTCTGCATGCCAACTCATCCAAGCAATTTGCACATGAATCATTTATTCTGATCTAAGTGAAGATCTAAGGTGCCGGCAGGGGCTGAGTGTATGGGGCATCTTCTACCTCATGCAAACTGGAGGCCTGAGCCCTGCCAAGGCAGCTGCCCTTTTCTCAGGGTTCGAGTTGGGCGGCTTCGTGGGAAATCTCACAGCAGGAAGCCTCTCAGATCTTTTGCTACGACGTGCACGCCCAGGTGCAGGGGATGTAGGTCAGAGAGCCAAGGTGGTTTGCATCTACTTCCTCGCGACCCTTTTGCTGGTCCCTGCACTACGACAGTGTCCCAACTGGCCATGGCTGCAGTATATCCTCTTGCTGGGCTTGGGCCACTTCCTGAGCGGTGCACAATTGCTTCTGCCCCTGGTGGCAAATGAATCCGCACCGAAAGCATGGAGCACTACAGCTACAGGCTTTATCGGTTGGGTGGGATACTTTGGAGCCGCCCTGTCGGGCTTCCCACTGGCACGAGTGGTGCAGGCTTTGGGTTGGCCATACTACTTCAGTCTCCTGACCTTTGCAGCAGGTTCGGGAGCCTTGCTGGTGCTGCCTTTGCGCAACTTGCGTAGTTGGAAGCAGCGGGTTGAGATGGGATTGATAGATTGATTGATTGTTGACCAGGCAGAAACTGGTTGCAGTCTGAGCCCCGCTAAAAGCCCAAAGAGGAGGGAGTCTCCAGCACTGCAGCGCATGCATGTGGCGTATTTATTGATATCGGACGATCCAAAAAGACCCTCCGCCTCACTTGTATGATGTAGTTAGATCATGTAATCACTACAGAATCTTTGAATTCCTTGACATTTCGATTCGATGCAGACAGGCGCATTGAAAGGATCCATTTCTAATATAAAACATATTATCTATATATATATATATTTAAATGTAAAACTAGTCTACAGAATGCTTAAGCACGGGTTCAAGAAGGCCATTTGAGTCACATCATGACACATCAACCACTAATAAGGGACATCTTGCTTGGATAGCTTGGCTCCATCAAAGGTCGTTGCTTTTGTACTGTTTGTTGAGCGCTGTATGCTGCAAGTTGGGCGGATTCCAGAACAATCGAAAAGTCAAAGACCTATGGACGTTTTGCAAGGCTCCCCATGATAAATTGAAATACAAGATCTCAAATGATCGAACATGTTGGAAATCCCGAAATCTGATTCATCCAACAAATTGAGCAATATTGTGTTCGATCTCGATGAATCTTTTTTTCAAAATTGTGTCTTCCCGAGATCCGAATATCAAAATTTGTATTTATCTATGTAGTTATTTTCGTATAGTAAATGTACCAAAATATATCTATAATTGTGCGTATTTGTTTTAATAGAATATGTTGAAATTGTTTATTTATTATATATATAAATATTGATAGATGGATTATATTTTGTATAATATAAATAAAAGGATATTTATATTATGGAAATTTTGTTTTTGAAATTAATTAAATAGTTATTTTTTTATTTATATTTTGTTCTATTTAATAATTAGTGGATTAATGGGGAGTATAGTAGTATGCGATAGGTAAAATACGAAAGGTAATTTGGTAAGGATTATCTTGAATTTATTTTACGAAGGAAAGGAAAGGAATTGGTTTGAAAATTTGTTCGGAACTAAAAATTAATATATTAATATTTAGTATTTTTGTTTTATTTGTATTTTTATATATTTTTTTTGTTTTTGCTATTACATCGTTTTATTAAAAGGGGAATAAGGTGAAAATATGACGTTGGCTATGAGGTTATATAATATATTACGAATCTTGCATAATGAGGTTGTTTAATGCGATTTCGATGTTGTGCGTGCGTGTCTAGTAGCTTGATATAGCGCGTATTGCGTTTATAAATTATATTATTCGATATTAATGAATATCGATTTAATATAATTTCTTTGTAAAATTTTGTCGAGAAAATTTTCGATTCGTAGGATGATGTAATTTAATCGTAACGGTGTTTTTTGTTTTTATTGGATTTATTTATGCTTAACTAAGGAAAATATGCTTGCAATATTGGAAATAATTTCTTATTAGAAAAGGTCCCGATAATTATTCGGTCCGTTTTTATCTTTCGTATTTTCTTATTTAAGTAGATTAAAATGATGGTTATAAATTTTATTGTTATTGAGATTATAATTGTGATTGATGAAATAATCTATTAATATATTTAAAAAAATTATATATAATGAAAAATTTTATTTATATATAATTTTTAGAATAGGATATATTTTAAAAAAAAATGGATGATTTTATATGATTATTATATTGTTTAAAAATATTTGGAATAGAATTTATAAATTGAATTAATATAACCTATTCTTAAATGAATCATTTAATTAATTAATTATATTGATATTTTGGTTTTAAACAATTATATATTATTATAATTTAGAATATTTTTTAAATTAATAATACTATAATTTGGAATCGATATTTTTTTCCGTTAAAGGACGATGTGAGTTCGGACGCCGTCGAACTAGGTTGACATGCTCGCACCGCAGGGCGGGCTTGAAATGCTGAAAACGGCGCGCGGTCGCGGTTATTCGGTTGACTACTCAATTCGCTTGTGTTTGATCCTCGTGTTCATTCACCTCACACGTAGTTCTTCGGACACTACCTCTGTTTTGACATTGGTAGCGGAGCCCGAGCCCTTCTAGGGCGAGGGCTCCCGCTGCGGACTTCGCTTGAACGAGCTGAGCGTTCTGGACAAGACCTTGGTCACTTACCCTTTGCCGAGTTTGCTTCGCTCCTCGCATCCGACCTCTTTGAATAACACCCTTGGAGGAGCTACATCGTGTTCTGTGCCCTCATCGATGTCTCAAAAGAAAGATCAATAGAAGGGGAAGGCCTACGGCTCCGGAACCAGCTCGACCGAGGACACCTCCTACACTGATGTCCGTGATAGCTATGTACCACTGTTCAGCGGTCAGCCTTTTGACTATCGTGAATGGCGCCAGCGAGTGCAGCTCTACTACCGGAAGATGACGCTGGCAAAGAAGGCAAGTGAGGGGGTCCTCAACATCGTTGGGAGCTTCAAGGGGATGGTCTGGCGTTTGTTCGAAGATTAGCCTTTGGACCACTTCGACAAGGACGATGCCTTCGAGACCATGTTGAAGATACTGGACGGCAACTTCTCGTACGACCAACGAGTCCAGCTTCCTTCGGATTTCGAAGGCTACTTCAACCTCCTCCAACGTGCTCCAGGTCAAACACTCCTGACCTATGTCAACGATCATGAGGAGGCCTACAGGAAACTCCTACAACATAAAGTATCCCTTCCTGAATCCGTTCAAGGGTGGCATTTGCTGCGTCGAGCCGCCTTGACGAAGGAACAACGACACCTGGTCACGCTGAAAGCACCCACGTTGGAGAAAGCCGCGATCATCGAAGCCCTCTATCTCCTGTTCGGCCAAGACTACAAGGCTGGTGGCTGGAATCATGATCGTAGCAAGCGCTTCCAGAGGTGGGGCAATAGCAGTCGGGCCTATACTGCACAAGATGACTGGTGGGAAGATGAAGACTCAGGCTGGAACGATGAAACCGGCTACTATGAAGGCGATGAACAGGTGGTAGATTATGACTATGACCACGAGGAGGAGTTTGACGCCGACGCTGCCTACTATGGTGAAGACCCCTGGCCAGAGGAACCTGATGAGACTGGCAGCCCAGAACGCCTTGCTGATGAGTACGACACTGCGTTTGCCTCCTACACCGATGCCAGGCGCAGGTTCAACGAGTTGAAGATGGCTCGAGGTTTCTTGCCAGTGGTCGCCCTCACGGACAACAACCAGCAGCCTGTCATGGCCAACCCTTCATCCTCCTCGAGCCCTTCGCACTGGCAGAAGAAAGGAAAGGGCAAGGGCGGCAAAACAAAAGGAAAAGGAAAATCAAGTGCCACCATCCGATACCCACCGCAAGGTGCTGGCAAAAGCGATCCCAAGGGCAGAGCTAAGGCCAATATGATTTGCCTCAGGTGCGGACAGCAGGGTCATTGGGCAGCCAACTGTCCCCAAAGCGCCACAAAGGGCACTGGTCTCAAGCGCCCGGCCCCCACTGAGGGTATGGCGCAGGTTCTGGAGAAGGAGTAGGGCATGATCATCTTTGAGGATCACAATGGACATCAACGCCCTGACTGTGTCATGTTGGATCCCGGTGCGAGTGCCTTCCTGTTAGGCTATGGCCCTTTTCGTCGCTTCCTGCAACACCTGAAGGATGACTGTCAGTTCCCGATCGACAAGATCAAGATGATTCGTGGCAGACGCCGCTTCCAATTCGGCGGAGATGCAGCTTCCTGGTCGACTTGGAGTGCACATGTGCCAGTGTTCCTGGACGGCCGATATGGCACCGTACAGCTGTTCCTGCTGCCAGGTCATACACCAATGCTATGTGGACGCCCCATCATTGAAGCCATGGGTATGACGATGGACTTTGCATTTCGCAGGGTTCGCCTTGGATCTGGTGGCTGGCGACAGGCCACGCTCGGTCGGCAAGGTGAGTACCTTCTGTCACTCACTGATGAGCACTCCCTCGTTGAATATGACCCGGAGCAACCCGAGTACTGCCTCAAGACCGCCGAAGCTGATCTGGACCAGGAGGAGGACGTCCCACTGGCAGAGTTCGAGAAGGAAGAAGCTGGTTTCGCCGTCACTGAGCCTGAAGCAGATCAACATCAAGCCCATACCAAGGCACTTCGGCGCCATGACCTCAGGACTATGGACATCCACCTGAACACTCATCTGAGTGAGCTCACGGCATATGTCACCAAGCAACTTCATCCAGCAGAACCTCAACGGAAGTTGTGGGAGGTGTACTGTGGCACTTCGCGCACCTCCCAAGTGGCGGAGAGTCTTGGCATGGAGGTTCGACAGTTTTCTTATGAGACCGGCTGGGACTTCAACAGGTTGGACCACCAGAGCGCCTTCCTGGAACTACAAGATGAAGAATGTCCTGACGAAGTCCTCCTGGCACCTGAGTGCAAGCTTTGGAGCAAGATGCAATCCCTTGGAAGACGAACTCCAGCTCAACAGGAAGCCCTTCGTGCTGCTCGACAACATCATCATGACCGTCACTTGATGTTTGTTCGAAGAGCCTATCTTGGTCAAGTGCACAATGGCCGTCATGGTCACATTGAACAGCCCAAGCACGCGCTCTCCTGGCGCACTCGTGCTTTGAGAGATCTCCCGGGACGTCGAGCTGATTTCGATCAATGTCGATATGGAGCAGCCTGCATGGACACTGATGGACAATGGAGACCTGTCAAGAAGAGCACCTCATTGCTCACCACCAAGCAGGCCCTCCAAGATGTCATGACGCTTCAATGTCGAGGAGATCATCAGCACTGTGCCCTAGAAGGCCATGCCATTGGATTCGGATCTCGCACCAAGTACTTGGAGGAGTACCAACCGGCACTTGCTGCTACCTTGGCAGGTGCTATGGCTGTTGAAGAAGCCCCACAGGCTTGGGAGACGGGCTTCATGACTGCAGAGCAGAAGATCGCGACGGGCAATCTGATCCGCCTTCGCACCACAGTCAGACAGGATGCCATCAGAACTGTTCAACGACTACATCGCAACCTTGGACATCCTGGACCTACCGAACTGGCCGAGTTGCT